GAGGACGATGCTATCGATAACACTTTTTATTATTCGAAATGGGAGAGCCAATTTTCTGCAAGACAAATAAAGATTTATTCCTTCAAAATACATAGTAATATTATATTGCTTTTCCAACTCAAATACAGATTTTATCCTTCAAAAGTACATTACCTACTCTTAAATTGATGGACTCACCTAAATTCTACCACCACTTCCAACGAGCCATCCAGAAGTCATTGGAGGAGGCCTTAGTTCAGCAGTGGTCGTCCTGTGGCTGAAATGATGGTGATAATCTAAGTAAGTTCTGAGTAATTAATAAATGTGCTGTAGAAATGCCTGGAGGAGGGACGAATTGTGGTAATTTTTGTAAACTACATAGTACACCACGTCTCAGATCCGTATACCATCACTGGCAACACACATTGGTCAAATTATTCATTACTTTTGACTTCAGACACTGCGGTATTTCGGACGTGAGTATATGGCGAAGCTTCCCGAACGCTGCCCATTGCATGGCTGGAAGACGTAGCGTTGGCAGGCCACCTACTAGGTGGACCGACGATCTGGGAAAGGTCGCGGGAAGAGCCTGGATGCGGGCAGCGCAGGACCGTTCACTATGGAAAACCTTGGGGGAGGCATTTGTCCAGCAGTGGACGTCATTTGGCTAAAACGAACGAACGAACATAGTACACATTACAAATTATCGTGGTTTGTACGTGTAGAAAAGTGACTTAGTGTACCAACGAGAGAAAATTTAATTAGAGCTACCTAGTAACAAGTACCCCAAGAGTAATTAATTTACTGTTTTAATAGTCTGGTGGAAATGATTGGCTAAAATAATAATAAGGGTACATTTGAAATAGAGAGCTAACGTATTTATTTGGTTGAGGAATAATTACTGTGCATATAATTTGATTGTAATTGTGAAATACAATTCTGAGCTTGTCACGTGTAAGCAATAAATTACTGCGAAAATCTGTTCAAAATTAGAAAAGGTTACGCTCCTGCAGTGGTGACTGAATACCCTGATGATGATGGTTCGTTCGTTTCAACCAAATGACGACTATTTCTGGACATATTTCTCCCCCAATGATTCATGGATTTCCACAACGAGTCCTGTGAATAAAGTAGTCGTTAAAATTTTCCGGGAAATAATCACACTGTTTTTCAAACTGCATGTTTCGGACTCCAAAGTGAAGTTTTTGTCAACATAACTATCCCGTATAACCCTTTCACTACGATGAAAATAATTCAGCAGACACAGAACCCTTATAATTACTATCTATTTGACTTTGAGACCAGCAGCTTTGTTCCGAAACAATTTATTTTCTCGACATTTGTCATCGTTTTCTATGAAATTCCTTGAATAATTTAGATGGCGTTTTGGTCGGTGTTTTGTGATCACAATAGCTTGCTGTGTAATGTGCCACACAAAGAAGGCAATTCAATTACGAAAGACCTGGAAGAGAGCATGTTTAAAGAAAATGGTGTTAGTAGAGGTGATATATTATAGGTCTGTATGAGTTTTATGTTTCTTATGCTTTCTTTGGGTTCACAAAAGCAATGATTAATGTAGGTACTTCGTGGTATGCTTGAGGCTGTCAAAGTGTATTGAATTTTGGATGCAGATTGGAGAGTTAACCTGAGCTTGCCATTCATAGATTTATCCAATGAATTTAGCTAATTGTATCAGCTTTAATTATAAAACTATTCTAATTCTAATTGATTTCAATTAGACATTCAAGACATAGTTTAAAATTACATCTGGTACCTATGTGAATGTAACTTAAGCTACATGTTAATTAAAACAGGCCCACTCCACATTTTAGACATACTGTGAGTAGAATCTAGAAATCTATCTATATAAATAAAAATGAATTGATGTTCGTTAGTCTGATTAAAACTCGAGAACGGCTGGGCTGATTGAGCTGATTTTGGTTTTAAAATGTTTGTCGTAGTCCAGGGCTAAGGCCTCAGCCTCGAACTTAGCGGGCAGCGGGGCGGGAGCGGCGGCGGCGCTGGAGCGGGGCGGGCAACGCAGACCCGTTCTCGAAACAAGCGGGCAGCTCGCGCGGCGCTTTAGCGANGAAACAAGCGGGCTGCTCGCGCGGCGCTTTAGCGACGAAGTGTTGTGTTCGGGGTTGTGTTGTCGAGATATTTGTTTTTATTCGCAAACGAATTCGCAAAACAATTTTATTTCGATTCAAATTTATTCCTAACGCTCGATTTATTGTGGGCAAAAGAAGGAGTGCGCTCTGCCCGCTCGTTGCCCGCTGCCACCCCGCTGCCGCGCCGCTGTTTTCGAGAACCGGTCTATTTGATTTTACGCATAAGATCCTGCCGCTCCCGCGCCGCCGCCGCCGCCGCCCCGCTGCCCGCTAAGTTCGAGGCTGAGGCCTAAACGGTGAGAAAATACGCGCGCGATATTGTTTTTCTGTGAAAGACAAAATTCCACGCGGGCGAAGCCGCGGGCGGAAAGCTAGTATTAAATAAATTGCTGAATTTCTCACGTCCATTAGCAATGTAAGTGTACCATTAAGCTCTACAAAAGTTATGTGTGCAAGTGTGGCAGAGATAGCTACGTTTTAAAAGTAATTTAGATTCACGCTAACGCAGATGTAGCTTTGAAAATGAACTCACATGGGGTCTTACGGCAAGCACAGACACGACAGATGTGAAAGAACACTGTGCTAAGTAATGTGTAGTCGACAGGCCACCTGACTAAACAATACTAGCTTTCGCCCTCGGCTTTGCCAGCGTGACATTTAGCCAGTAAGATCGACTTAATTAGCGATTAACTCACTATCTCGTTAAAAATACATGTTATTCTGAAATGCTGTAGTTATAGGCATTAAGTTTTATCTAAGACTGAGTTGCACCACCTAACATTAACGGTAACTATGACGATAGCCGGTGCTTTTTGTATGATGTCTGACATATTTTTGACGTTTGTTAAAGTTATAGTAAGATGCATGCAACTTAGCCTAAATCTCAGTCGAATACAGTAAAACTGGCATGTTCTAACAGTAAGAATCATTCCTACAACAACCTACCCATTTTTCCTCACAAAAGATGTCACCGCGTATGCTACTGCTTATACATTATAGTCTCTCGTTGCAATTTGGCTTAAGCCGCAAGAAGCCATTGTTATCATCGTCCTCGACACATTCGAGTAAGAAAGGACAGTAATCTGCAAGTTCTGCAAAAGCACGCCTTTCTACGGCACAATGACTAGCTTTGTCTTAAAGCCCTAGGATTATGAGTATAATATGAACTTAATCTTCGCAATAGAACGAGGTGTATATGCGTTTTAATCAAGGAGGATTAAGTTTGATTATCTCGCGTTGTGTAGGTTAAAACGCTTACTCAGTGCCTGAGGTATGCGAGCGTCACGGGAACCCTGTTTTTGAGACGTCACACGTAAGTGAGACTTCATAATAAGCTTCAGATTTGTGTGCTCTGTCACGTCATAATATTACGTCAATGTCACCCCTCCCGAGCCGTTTGGGCATTTACTGAGTTAACCTCTAGACCAATAGTGATAAACTAAAACAGTTTGTCCGCAATAGTGTTGACAATATTTGATTAAAAGTTTTTACAGCGCCATGTTATGTGTTACCAAAGTTTCTCAAGACAACTATAAATTATCTCTACTTCTCTACTTATTAGCAACTGGCTCTGACTTTACCATCAGACCAGTCCTTTATAAATTCAATATTGAAATTTTTTCGAGGTTGACATGACTGGCACACCAACGACTTACCTCGCATACTCTTTGACATACCTCGCATAACTTATGAATTCATATAATTATAATTCCAATGTAATTTAACTTTGGAAAGTGATTATAATAGAAGTGCTTATGTACGTGCTACTTTAATAATTTTCTAGAGTAAGACCTGGCAAATGGAGATCAAAGATGAAATTACTTTTTATTAATAAATCATTTATGTGGAACTCAAGCTTGATTACAAGAACTCAAAATGAAGTTGTTATTAATCAAAAAGTTCGTTGTTACAAAACTGAACAAACTTTCGCGTATTATAGTAAATAAGTACCTCTATTTACTACGCGAAAGTTTGATCCATTTACTAACTAATGTATCGTACCATGCCTCTTGAAAACGTAAAAACAAATATTTCATCATATTTATTTCAAATAAAAAAATATGCTAGTTCCACATAAAGTACTGACACCATTTTAATTCACTTTTGAAGAGCAGCATTTCACTTAAAGTGTCAGTAATTACGAGTACAAGTAGAGCTTTCGAAGCTTCGTTCCAAACATTTTGTGCAGTGTACTGAGACACAAAGTAGACGTAAGTACCACCTACTTGCAGAACATTTTCCTTATTGCGAATCGTAATAACGTCGAACTTGAACTTCAATAAATTGCTTCCTCGTATTGATGAGTATTCATACCTACCTGTGTTGATTAATGTATGTCTTAAAACAACTTTTAGATTAATTTCATTTATATTCTATATTTAGCCGTCACGACAGGACCTAATTAACTTAGGTATATTGATTTTGCATTTCTTTTAATTTCTTCTGATTAATTTCGTTGCCAGTTGAACTAATGACAGTAAGGCTGTGTTGCACCACCGTCTTTAACCGTAACTTTAACGATAACCAGTTTTTTTGTATGGAGTTTGACAGATTTTTGACGTTTGTTATAGTTTTAAAGTAAGATTGTGCAATCCAGCCTTCAACTTTTCCCGCGGACAATGTAGTTTTATCATGAAATAACTTTTAATAACGTTACAGTAGTGACTAGTAGAGATTATACAAATATACTTACAAACTTAATGATATTCGTGTAGATTGGTTCGTTGCAATTATGCCAGGTGAGCAAACTGAGCAGGCTGAAATTCAGCTAGATTGAAAGTACCTACAGTGAATTAAACATTGTGAATTTGTTTTAAACCTTTTTGGATTTGATTTAAAAAAATCCACAGGTTAGAAAAGGAGATGAAGTAAAGAAATATAGCGAAGTATTAATAATGTTTTTTGTTGCAGGACTTCCAAATGACCTGTCGGTGTACTGGCACCAGTACCCATACAGCCTGGGCCTGGTCTTCTGCAAGCTGAGGGCGCTCATATCTGAAGCGTAAGTTTCTTTACTATTTTTTTATGTAGGCATAAAATAGAAAATCTACACTGAAGGTCCATGGAAGAAAATTAGTTCTAAGAGGGTCGAAGTCATTAAAAAGTCATAATACTTATAATAACGTTTTTTCTCATAACACTTTCAAATGCTCTGGAAACGATTTAGTATCCTACTCGTAGGTCAGTAAATTCCGGATAAGTATCAATAAAGATAACATTTTTTTTGTTATATAATAGTGATCACTATCAGATCAAATGAGTTTAGCGTTTACCTACTAAACTCAATGCGAAAATAGCGCTTGTTAGAAATTGTTAGCAAACTGGCGATCGCCATGGCAACCGCCGAAACTTTAACATGTTTTTGGCTAGGACCCGTTTGCATAATTTCAAAAGTGACGTTTTCCCATACATTTTTTTGTCAGTGACCGCACTTACCGTTAAAAGGACGCCATTTTTCTTACTAGCGCTAACTAGCGCTATTTTCTGCTAAACGCCCCCAATGTTTTCCATAACAATTCACAGGTTAACAGAACTATTAGTACTTATTATTATTCTGTGCTATTACCTAGAATATGCATTGATTTATAGGTTAGCAAAATTATTTTACCTAGAAAAGACATTTATAACTTATGAGTTCGTGTCTACAAGATTGATGTAAGTAGACTCGTTAGTTTTAGTTTGTTATGGCCGTAACCTAATGAAGTTTACTCCAACTTTAAGCATGGAACTCTACCCACTACCTATTTTAGTAATTTCTGAATAACATAATGTGGGCGTCCAGTATCAATGATCAGAAATAGATACTTTGAAACTGAATACATTCACGCTCAATCTATTCGGTCTTACACCTAAATCTAAGTAAGTATACGTACTATTAATAGAGTTTGAATCAGTAGATCTTCCTTTTTCAATACTAATACTATTCTAATATCTATACTATTAGATGACCACGACAGAGTTATGATTTGATAAAAGGGCATGAAGGGCATCGTAGAGTTGATGTCCGCTGGGGCAAAACAGTTCTCTAGTGGCGATCACGAGCAGGCCTCCCACTAGGTGGACCGACGATCTGGTAAAGTTCGCAAGAAGTAGCTGGATGCGGGCGCGCAGGACCAGACGTTTTTTAACTTCTTGAGGGGAGCCTTTTGTCCAATGGACGTCACTCGGCTGAAACGAACGAAAAGGCGTGTTTTTAATCTCGGAGTATTTGAGTAAAATCACTCTTCTACAGAATAACTCCCATATTCACAAAAATACTATGAGGTCTCACAGTGCGCGTGGACGCACAGGGTGACACACGAACCAATCACAGAGCTCTATTCAACGCTGTGCGTTCGATTTGCTGCTTCACTTATGCAAAAGCATCGTTTGTAAATACGGGTGTAATTCTTTTTAGCCTTTAGAATTTTAACTGCAGCTCAAAAGCGAATGTTTGAATTGTATGCAAATCAAACCTTTGCTCGGTTTAGCTCGCTGCCGTTGATTTCCTCGTCAAAGCATCAATTGACTGGCTCTCGCGGGAACTGTGTATTTGAGGAAAAATTTTGCCTTCGGCGTAATTTTTTTTAGATTTGAATAGCTTGTGCCTTTATTAAGGAAGTGTTCGGTGAAGAAGTATTTTCATCCATATTTAGAAAGTATAGACGACAGCCCATTAGACTATACATTTTTGTTACAATATCGCCTCTATCACAACAGAATAAGATGTCACAGTGTTTACCTTGATGTACTGTAATCTGCACATTGTACATTAAAATCATAGCTATACAGTACTAGCTTTCCGCCCGCGGCTTCGCCCGCATGGAATTTTGTCGGTCACAGAAAAACTCGCGCGCGTCCCTGTTTCAAAAACCGGGATAAAAACTATCATATGTTCCCGGGACTCAAACTAACTCTATGCCAAATTTTATCAAAATCGTTTCAATAGTTTAGGCGTGAAAGCAAGACAGACAGACAGACGGACAGACAGACAGAGTTACTTTCGCATTTATAATATTGGTATAGATGAGACGGTATGAGATACATAGATATATGAAGAAACCATTGTCCATATTTACATACATAGCTGGGTTTCTTTGTGTTGTGTATAATGTATGTCAGTAACGTATTTCCTTGTACAGTTGGCCAACATTTTAATTTTGATGTTCAATCTTGTCATATTAAATGTGCGAAATAAAATACGAACGTGAAATTATTGAGAAAGAAAAACAAGAAAGAACAAAAAACAATTGAATATAGAAAACGGTCGACAAGAAAAAAAGATACTTTAGCAGTGGCCAGTAACCGGCCGTATTTATGGGCACAACAAAAACTATTCAGTTTATTGATGATGCCAAGAAATTTAAACAGAATACACACAGTTCAAGTATGGCCTACTACGCCTTTGCTAGCTATACTTGCTCAAATCCGTGGTGGTGGGGGCCCGGTGACCTGTAACACAGGTATTCATTTACCTAGCTCAGGCTCCGGTCTCACACAATCATTAATGAGTTTTCTTTAATAATTGTATATTGTATCCTGTATTTTTGTGTGAGAAATAAATAAATCTTATTATTAAATCTTATTATTATGGCAGGACCGATTTAATCACTGATTTGTTGGATTAATCTCCGCCCAAAAAACACAGAATAATTTAATATTGGAAAGTTATATTAAAAATTGGAGAAAGTAAAATGTTTTACGCCCGTATACACAAACAATACTTGCTTAAGTGAAGCAGCAAATCGAACGCACAACGTTGAATAGAGCTCTGTGATTGGTTCGTGTGTCACCCTGTGCGTCCACGCGCACTGTGAGCCCTCATAGTAATGTTTGTAAATACGGGCGTTAGTGAATTAGGTGTTTACTGCGACATCTCCCGCAGTTGACATTTCAAGCCACAAAATCGACGACGAAGTTTGCTGGGCCAGTTGGTTAAAAATTAAATCCCAACTAATATTATAAATGCGAAAGTAACTCTGTCTCTCTGTCTGTCTGTCTGTCTGTTACGCTTTCCCGCTTAAACCTCGCAACCGATTTTGATGAAATTTGGCATAGAGATAGTTTGAGTCCCGGGAAAGAACATAGGATAGTTTTTATCCCGGTTTTTGAAACAGGGACGCGCGCGATAAAGTTTTTCTGTGACAGACAAAATTCCACGCGGGCGAAGCCGCGGGCGGAAAGCTAGTTAAATATAATAGAAACGGAAAGTACACACTACACATTGTTTGCCAACTGTACAGCCTAAAGTGCAGTGAATCGAACTGAAATCCGTTCACCTTTTCTGTCCATTTCTTTGGCAGAAGCGGGAATATATTTATTGGAGCTCCTTCAGCCATTACGAGCCGATCACGTGGAAAATTTCCTTCACGAATATCCGATGGCACCCGATTGAGTGGCGCTGTATCAATATCTCATCGGATTATCATCGAAATATCAATATAATAATATGTATTCACATTCACCTTGTCTATGTATTCAGTATCAGTTTATGTGAGGAGATTGAATAGAAATTCATTTTCAAAATACAGTGTTCATTTTATATGTACGCCATATTTATATGTACACACGACAGCACATCAGGCTACCCATTTTTGTTGCAAACTCGCCCCTATTACAACAGCATAAAAACCCATAGTGGTTACCTTGACGTGCCGTCGTCTGTAAGCCTTTATGTATATTGTAAGCAAAATATGAACATAACACGCTTAATACATAGAACTACATAGTATTAAAGAGTTAAAGTTAACCCTTGAAATTAATGCGCAAAGCCTTTGATAAGTGTTAGTTTGAATATACTCTGTTCAATAGTTTCCTATGTAAGGATCCTTCATAAAAGCAGTTTAACTCATATGCTGCCAGTTGGAATGTGCTGAACGATTTTAATACAAATTGCTACGATATTGCTACGCCGTAGTTATTGTAGCCGTAGGCTACGCGTGTGCCGACTACGAGTTACGTACTACGAATATTCGTAGCGGATCTAAAGTTAAAATGACTATGGGTCAGTAAGTCAGTGTTTATTGGATATTCTACTAAGTATCCTATTAGTTTGTATGGATGTTTGGTTGTTTGTTACTCTTTCACGTAAAAACTACTGAACGGATTTTGAGGAAACTTTACAGTATTATTCTTTTCAACCCAGAATAACATATAGGCTATAATTTATGACGATCTGTGATAAATTAAATTTTACGCGGTTGAAGCCGCGGGCAAAAGCTAGTATTGGATAATAATGAAATATTATGGAACTATGTAATGTACCCAGGACATTATTAGTTTTATTACGTACTAGCCGTATTAGCTTCCGCCTTTGGCCTCGTCAGCGGGGAGTTGGGTCTGTCACTGGATCATTATTTTGTTGCGGAGTTATTTGAAACTACGATATGGCCATTACGCACTGGCCCATTTATTCTCCCGAAGCAGTGGTAGGGTTAATACTGGGAATGTAAAAGTGCTTTTTAAAAGCCTACTTACATAAATAAATGAGTTTCCTACCTATCTCATAAGATATTCTTTAAAATCAAATTATGACAAGGGCTATTTTGTTCTTTACAAATCAATTGAGAGTTTATAAAACCCCTTCGCAAATAATGCATTAATATAAAACGAAGAACAACCAAAATGGTACATGAGCTTGTACTTAGTACATTTGTAGATTAACCAACAAATAAACAAAATTTTCACCTTTATAATATTACTAGCTTTTGCCCGCGACTTCACCCGCGTAAAATTTAGTTTGTCACAGATTGTCATAAATTATAGCCTATATGTTATTCTGGGTTATAAACAATAATACTGTAAAGTTTCATTAAAATCCGTTCAGGAGTTTTTGAGTGAAAGAGTAACAAACATCCACATAAACTTTTGCATTTATAATATTAGTGATATAAGTAGGTACGATTAGGATTACAGAAGTTATTTGAAACGATCTTAATTGTCTCTTTTTTGTTTTTACGATATTAAGTGGCGACTTGGTTCAACACTAAGTACTTTTTATATGAAAAGTCAACACTGCTTTAA